GCTGTTCCTGATGTATATTTGGAGTTTATCTGTGAACATTTCTGTCTGCATACAGCAGTGTTTTCCTTTTGGTGTTTTTAGGGTAACAGGGTTTTGAACTACATGTGGATTCAATAGAGTTAGAGTAAATCTTGGTTCCACGGTTATCCAGGATAAAAAACCAGTCATCTATTCCAGTCAATCTCACTTTGAAGAATTTGAGTGAAATAGGAGCAGGGACAGTCACAGGGGAATGGGTCATTCTTTGATGTACAAGCCTTTGAACTGTAACTGTGCCTGTTGTCCATACCCTTTTTGCAGATTTCTGGATGCCAGTCTTCCTCAAAAACTGTCTTAATTCTTCCTTGCTCTCATAAATTAAAAGAAGTTAGCTTATCCAGGTAGAAATTCCTATTCAAACACAGAAATACTGCCTTGGATTTTTCCCTGTCTCCCCTCTCAATCCATCTGTAACTCGTTAGAATGATGTTAATTGTCCTGCTGAAAGAGTCTGCTCTACTTAAAGTAGAACAATACTGAAATTTCCTCAGCAGCAGGTTTTTTGTTGTATTGTTTTTGGGCTTTTTTTGTCTAATTTTTTTAAAAATGTATGTTCCAGTTTTCAAGTTACCCATCACAGGCTTTTGGTCAGTTGCCTGAGGTAATCATGTTCTGCTAAATCAGGGCATGGGAGCAAGAAAGGTTACCCTACTCAGCCTTTATAAAGTTTCTGGAACTGCCAACTCCAAGCATCTTGTTTAACCAGGATGATTTAAATGAGTGATAATATCCAGTTACTAGCTCTGAGACAATTTGGCCATCTGAGGTACCATGAGGACTCAGCTACAGCAAGCAAGGCTGTTCTCCACAGAAATGAATATGTGCTGGTGTGCTGCCAAGATTATTCTAGGGCTGCAGATGGCAGCTACTGTTCTCACTGTATAAGCCTGGTTTAATGTGACTGGTGCAGACAGTGTGTAGCCAATGCAAATTTTTACTGATGGGATGTGATAATTAAATTTAAATTTTGTTTTCCCTAAATATTTTAGAACACACCAGCCATGTGTTGTTCTTACAGCATGTCCTGACAGTAGTGTATGAACTTCTTCCCCTTGACATTGGCCTCTTCTGCATATTTGATGACCTTAATAAAAGCCCATAATAGCTGGTACAGATGGGTCCTCTTTTGGACATACATAAAGTCATGAGTTGCCATTGGGGGTGAGAACTGCCATTTTTTCAAAGGGGCCATAAAAGGCAAATACAGTTTGTCTCTCACATGGCATAGTATGTTTGTAGAAGTGATGGGAAGTGCTATAACACATGGAGAGGCAGTAAGACAGCGTTGCAGGGTCGGGGATAGTCAAAAACGAGGACACTCCAAGCTGGAGGCTCTGCAATCACATGCACAGGGATGTAAACAGCTCAAATTGCCACTGAGTCAGTTGATGTCTCCTTGCCTCTAAAAAATAACCCTGTCCTAAGGATTAGCTGCCCGGGTGTGACTGCTTGGGGACCCTGGATCAGCTGGCACAGCCCAGACGGGAAATACGAAGCTTTGCTAACATCCACCAGCCCAGGATCTCTCCAGAGCAACTTCAAAGAGTATAAATGTACCATCCAAACAGTGTGGAGCTGCTAAGCTGTGTAAAACAGCAAGGTGGGAAGAAGTGCTCTGTGGGCAGCATCTATAACTTGCTGAAGCATGAACTATTTTATGTGGTCTATTCCAGCTCACAACTGTATTTGCAGCCTTAAGCGTTTAGACTGTTGTCTTTCAAGCAAATTTTGTACTTCTTGGGTGCATTGGTACTCACACTTCAGAAGTGTAGAATATTAGAATCTCATTGGATTTTTCTAAGTAGAGATTGAAACTCAAGTTGCAGAGTGTTAGAGAAAAGCTTTATTTGGCACAACAGCAACTGTTGTACTGTTGTACTCCTTCATATATAGCTGCTGTGGATTGCTGGTCGTCTCAGGCTGTATAAAAGAATTGCTTTTTTATCAGAAAAATGGTTTTATACAGCCCCTGAATCGAAGTTAGAATTAGTATAATCCAAAGGTGTTACTTGTACAGCAGAATTTGTTGGAAATTATATATGATAGAACAGGCTGCAGGCAGCAGGTACATGTTTAAATCAGCTAAGAATCCATGGGTTTGATAAATAAAAACTAATTAGGGAATTTCTGAGTTCCTAATTTTGATTTCCAAAATGGGGAGTCTCACACAAACCTGATAAGGAAATGGGAAACATGAGCCAAGAGTTCACCAGTGTAATTGTTAGGCTGAATTTTTTTTTTTTTTTTTCATTTTAGATACTGCTGCAGCCTCACTGTCTGCCAGTGAGTTCCTCCTGATTTGATGAGAGCATCAAAGAGTGTCAGGGAAGATGCTTAAGGACAGAAGAATATTTTTAATTTGGTGATGCATCTACAAATTTAGGCAGATGCAAATCTGAACTGGCTGGCTAAGAGCCAGGTCTAACCCATAAAAAGCAGGATATATGGTGGTATGGACAAAATAGTGCATAGCTGAGAGGCTACTCATGGAGGTGTAGGGGTGGAGGGTGGGCTGTGAGAAGCAGCTGGCTCCTGTTTCACTCGGAGCATGGTGCTGTCAGCAGCCATCTGTGGGTATGTCCTGAAGATAGGGCAGTGCTTGGGAACAGGAATAGGTGCCTATGGCCACAGGAACCGGGGGCAAATTAGGATAGACTGTCCTAGAATTATGGAATCACAGAGTGGTTTGGGTTGGAAGGGATCATGTCATTCCAACCCCCCTGCCATGGGCAGAGACACTTTGCCCTACACCAGGCTGCTCAGGGCCCCATCCAACCTGGTGCTGAACACTTCCAGGGATGGGGCAGCTGCAACTTCTCTGGGCCAGGACCTCACCACCCTCACAGGGAAGAATTTCTTCCTAATATCTAATCTAAACCTACTGTCTGTCAGTTTGAAGCCATTTCCCCTTGTCCTGTCACCACATGCTCTTGTAAACTCTTTGCTTGTCTTGTAGGCTCCCTTCAGGTACTGGAAGGTGCTCTAAGGTCTCCACAGAACTTTTTATTTTCCCAATGAACAATCCCAGTTCTCCCAGCCTTTGCTCACAGCAGAGCTGCTCCATCCCTCTGATGCCCTCGGTGCCTGCTCTGGGCTGGCTCCAGCAGGTCCCTGTCCTTGCTGTGCTGGAGCCCAGAGCTGGATGCAGCCCTGCAGGTGGGGTCTGAGCAGAGCGGGGCAGAGGGGCAGAATCCCCTCCCTGCCCTGCTGCCCACGGGGCTCTGGATGCAGCCCAGCACTCGGGGGGTTCTGGGCTCCCAGAGCACACAGCTGGGGCATGTCCAGCCTCTCACCCACCAGCACCCCCAAATCCTTCTCCAGGGCTGCTCTGGGTCCATTCTCCTCCCAACCTATCTTTGTGCTTGGGATTACCTTGATCCAGGTGTAGGACCTTGCACTTGGCTTTGTTGAATTTCATCAGGTTCACACAGACCCACCTCTCGAGCTTGTCAAAGCCCATCTGGATGGCATCCCTTCCCTCCAGCATGTTCACAGCTCCACACAGCTTGGTGTTCTCAGCAAATCTGTTGGGGGTGAGCTCAGTCCCACTGCCCTGTCACCCACAGAGATGTGTCCTCAGGCTGTATCCTACATAACATACAAATTAGTACAGGAACTCTGAAACGAATTGCCAGAAATGCTCAGATCGATAGATGGATTCTTTTTGGCTTCATTTAGCTTTGGATCATGCTCTTAAGGAACAAATAGATGACTACAGGCCTTAACCTGAATTCTCATAGGCAAGAGTGGAGAGGTAATCTTTCTTGCAGAGTGGATTGGAAAAGCTCTGCTAACCTTTCCAAATTTTGTTCTAACTGCTCCCACCAGGCCTGGGTGGATGCAGACTTAGAGGGCAGCACTAATTGTTTGAAGCTCTTTCCAGCTGGGTGCTGTCATCTTGATATTAAAAAAAAAAAAAAAAAAAAAAAAAAAAAAAAAAAAAAAAAAAAAAAAGCCATCAAAGTAAAAGGGAAGTGGGGTGATGGAAAACTAAATGTTTGCAAAACAGGCTGGTTCTTTGAATTTCCCAATCCATTACATAACAAAAATGCATGAACTGTGTGATTAAGAATACTGAGTAGTAAGTACAGAAATCAATTCTGTTTAGTGAGGATTCAAATCCCCTTGAGGATTTGGAATGTTTTTTAAAGTCTAAGGAGGTGTATGTGGGGGGGTGACATCTTTTCTATAAATGCATAGAATTACTAAGCACAAGGGATTTATTTAACCAGGAAACTTACATTACTGAGATTAGACATCTCATTTTCAAGGTGCTCTGGGAAGATAATGACTCCTATCCCCATAATTCACTGTAGACATCAGTTTTGTCTGATAATACATAAATTGACCTGATGATAGAAGTTAGCAGTTTTCACTCTAAATTGCAGTATAGTGCTAGACAGCAATAAAGAATGTGTGGGCCTGATTCATTGAGTTTCTGTAAATTATAGAGCAGAGGATTTGGCCCTCCTCTTTAGGAAATATACATTCCCTCTCTAGAACCGAGATACAGTTTTTCCTTTCATTAAAATATAAATGCTCTGAAAAACAAAATTAAATCTTCCTGAACAAGAGAAAGAACAATGTAGTTATTTATCCTAAAAAGAAGGTTAGCCTCAAGGAATACTGAATGTTACAATGAATCAGATGGAAAACACCATAGGCTTTTATGATGTTGTGATTAAATGTGATCAGTTAGCAGGAGAAGGTGCATGAAATTCTGATTGTGGAGAATTTGATGGGAATTTTGCCAATGACTTTAAGAGGAACAGAACTTCCTTTGGAACCTGGAAACTGTGAAAGCATTTTACTTGCCTATTTGATTTTGAGTTAGGGAATACTGGCTATTGCCTTTATTTGCTTGATTTTCTGGGCTGAAGTAAATGTTATAGCATTTTATGTAGAGTAAGCTTAAAATAATATCTAACTGAGCTAAACTCTGTTGAAAATCCTTGTTGCAGAGGTATAAAAACTGCTATATTGAATTGATCCCTGCATCTGTAAGACTGTCTTTTCAGAAGAGGAGCAGACTGTTGCAATTTGGCAGAGGTGAGGAGGATTGTGAAGCTTTTTCCTTACCATTTTTTAATTAGCTGCTGAATGTAAAAGGAGGAAATGAAGAAGCTGCCTCTAAATTGAAGGAGATTCTAAAAGAAAAAAAAAAAATCAATACCATTTAAGGAATCAGATTTTTACTTGGTACTTCATGGGTCCTTTCCAAACTATTAAGTAGATGTAATTTAGAGCCACTGATTGGAACATCTGATTCAGGAATATCAAATGTTAGTAGCTCTGTCTTAGAGACTCTATTGTGTTTGTGGTCTGAAATGGAGCTTTCTACATTTAGAGTGTCTTCAGGGGATGTGCATGACAGAAAATGTTCAACTTGTCTTGCAGTAGAAGTCTCCCAGGTTGAAACAGGGGCTTCTCACGGAGCTCTTGGCCATGGGTTGTGGATCACAGAGCTCTGCACAGAACTGCTTTGTCACCTCCTGTTGGAAGTGAACAGGAGGAGGTGAAAGGAGACAGGGGTTTTATTCAGTGTGCACCCACAGGATTGCCCTCACATGTCAGGGAATATGTGGAGTATGGAGTAGGCACTGTACTGAAAATGCTCTGGCCGAAATTAAGGGCTCAAAGTTCTTCTCTCCAAAGAAATGGGACAGCAAGAGGAAGCCTCTGACTTAATATCTGAATTTCCCACTTCCACCAAGATAATACCAATGCACTATGTTTACCTTGAAATGATGATAAAATAATAATTCAGCCTTTTATGTGGACTGAATGGAGAAGTGTGACCACTCAGCCTATAGTTAATGTTTAACACTCAGACTATGTCAGACAGTAGCTTTGTTGCTTTTAGTTTTAAACCTGTATGAAAACATTCAGATGGCAAATAAGTGATGATCAGAAGAGATGTAAATTTTAATTAAAGATTGTTATGCTATAAGAGGAAAAAATGGAGGAGGAAGAAAATAAGAGTAAATATTATTTCCATATTCACTGAAATGTGTCCAAGTTAACAACTACTAATATATTATTTTATCTTTTTTCCATCACACAAAGAAATCAGTGAGCCACAGAGCCCTGCTGGTGAGTTCTCCCAGTGGCAGGTGAAGCTGCACCAGTAGAGTGGCTGTCATTAGAAGGGGAGCCTGGAGCTAGGGCTCAACTGAGAGTACCTGCACCATGGCTCGACCTTTACTGCTTGTGTGCCATGTTAGATTATGGATTGCCACTTACTGTGAATGCACAGCTGAAATCAAATCTTCTAAAAGGCCAAGGATGCTTTGAGATCTCAGCTGTGAAGTCTATTCTTTGTGCAGGAATAAAAAACTCAATATATGAAAATCTCAATTTGTGCTAATTATTTTTTTAGGATGTAGAGCCCAAGAATGTAGAAATCATGCAGCAATGAAGAAAGAGAAATAAATGCTAACAGTAGTGCAAGATTAAAGCTGGAAAGTGAAGGTTCAAGTATTTGATAAAAACTTTTTCCTGTCCCCTCCTTATAGTGTGGGTTTGCTGTTCTGTTATGCTACTGCTGCAGCAAAATGCACTATTTATAACAGATAAAATATACATAGAGGTCACAACACTGATGTTACCTTCAAATTTGATCCATTTAGTTACTGATTTTAATTATTCTCAAAGCTCAAATTCCACAGAGAGCTGTGATATCAAATGACATTATGAACTCTTGCTGAGTATTTTATTTGTATTATTCATCCTAATAATAAGCTGTTGCTTCTTATTTTAATTATTCTAGTAGGTGTTTCCTTACAGATTGTGATTTATCTAGTAGTCTAATGTCATCTCTAGCTTAGGCCTATCAACAAACTTGACCCTTACAGAAGGATGTATCAGTGAATAATAAACATCTAAAGTGTTACTTTTTCATAAGAAGAGTTTTAACACTGACAGTACTCAAAAACATGTAATAACCATGTGCATTTTTGCCTTCCTACACAGTTTCTTGCCATGTAAGTCTCTCTGTAATTGTAGGTACAGACTGCTTTTTCTATTTTAGTGTTTATTCTTAAATTATTCTCTGTTCTGCATGTCGACAAATACAGGCAAAATGAAGACTTAATAACTTAGTTTAAGGTCTGCCCTCTTATTTACTCTTACGTTGAGGGTCTCTGGTATAAAATCAAGAAAATTCCTCCTAAATGTTTTAGAGCAAACAGTCAAATCGCCTCTAAAGCTACAACCCCAAAATCAAGAAATTAAATCAATCTGAATGGAAGACACATTTCCTTCTGAGTTACTTATTGTCATTTTACTGGCTCTTCAGTCTTTCTGGAGTTTTCCAGATAGTGATCACTGTAAATGGGTATAAAACAAAATTTTAAAAATTTAAAAAACCAAAAAGGAATTAATTTTCTGTAGCTGGAAAGCGTGCTTTTGGTCATTACTGTCATAGTGCACATGAGGTTTGTGCTGGTAGTTTAGTTTTTCCAGCTGGAGAACCTGAGGCACAGGAAGGATGAGTACTTGCTCCCTCACAAGGAAACTAGCAAGTGAGCCATAAAGCAAATGCAAGCCCATCTGTGGCAAGCTTGGTCTCTCAAATGTCTATTTTTGTGTCGCTAGGTGGTAATTGACAAAATCTGTTACTGTTCCTCAAGTTGATAGGAGGAGTAAATGAGAAGTCTCATTAATTTGCTTCTAAATGATAACATTTGTCATAAAGTGCTTCACAGCCAACCCTACTTTACCAATAAGTGAAACCAGTCTGAAATGATAACTGGAAAAGAGACCTGGGAAAAGCCTTCAAGAAGGCTTTTACACACTATACAGCAAATTGGAAAAGTGTAAGTTAAGGATTTTTATTTTTAAAGTCCTTAATTTTATCTGTGTTTGTTTGTGTGAGCTTTACTTGGGTTTTGCTCATAGTAGAAACCAATTTATGTTAAAATGTATTTATCCTGCCAAGGTAGAGACATTTCAAATTTGCTGGAATGCAGATTCAGACTGCAAAATTACTAGAATAAACTGAAATAGTCAGAAGTAGGACTGATGAAAGAGATGCCTGTCCTTTACAAATATGCAGCTGTGGGCCCAAAGAAAGGAAATCAAGATCATGGTCACAAAATGATTCTGTATCTCCATTTGTGGTGAATTTCATCTTCTCTCTTCAGTACCAATTGCTGCTTGTTCACGTAATCAAATTTCAGAGCATTCACATAAAGCTGTAGGAAATTAATTTATGGGAAATTAATTGTGGGTTGGTGGGCAATATTATTCCAAACACTGTCTAATTTCAGGTATTTCATAATCTGTAAAAACTGAGATAGACAATACTTTCAGCATTACTTTTTTTAGATAGTTCTACTCCACTATAGGTGATGAAATTTTCCTGGTTTATACCAGCTAGTGACACAGACTGTTTTTTTCTACAATCACTTCTCCTTTGTTTGCTTGTCTATATACATTATAATACCTCTCACTATAACCCATGAATCAGCCTTAACCACTCCCATTTTTTTTTATTTTCCAGATTTGCCAAGTTTTCAAATGGCAAAATTAGTTTAATCCTAATCTTCACCATCAAGCAATCCACATGTTAGGCAACAGTTTGGTAACTATTCTTTAGAGTACAGGTGTACAGTTTGAGGTTTTTTGCTTGTTTTTTTGATTGGTTGATTGTGGGTATTTTTAATAGTTTGTTTATGGCTCACAAGTTTTTTTCCCCCAAGATCTGTAAGTGAGAAGGTTCCATTCATAATTTAGTCAATAATTGCTGAATTTATATATTAATTAATGTGTATAGGAAAACAGCGTTTCATGAGAATTTCTGTCTTTTGATAATCTCAGTAAACTGAGAAGATTTGCCTTGGAGTTTGGTGTATTTGCCAGTAGTCTCAGACAGAAAGAGTTTTATTTTATTTCTCTTAGATTATAAACTTCAATGGAAACAACAGCCTGCAAGAGAGCATTTTCCGAATTCATGAAAATCATTCAGACCTTGCTTTTGTTTTGCTAGTAAACATTGCTCTTTAATTCAGAAAACAGTTTGTACTGGCCTGGGGAAGCCTGTCTCATTTGATAATGGGCTCTGAATCCCGTGGATTATTGCAGGGATTTTATCTTGCAGTAATCTCCAGGGAGAAATGTACAAACAGCTGGGAGAGCAAGGAGGAACTGCATTGTGCAGCAGGAGTTTGTGGAGCAGAATTTTAGGGTGCTGGAGTGGATCTCAATACCAACATGAATCTTTTCTGTTTTTCTCTGGTAAGTGTGCACACACATGGTTTTTTTTTTAGTGGGTTTATAAACTGAACTGGTGGGTGTGTTTTTATGGAAAATAATGAAGGTTTTATATCACAAACGGTGCAAGGGTTGTATAACAACAGTGAGTGTCTCTAACCTAGATGAATGAGTTTTTGTATAAGAAATTGTATGTAGCAAAATGTGATTCAGTAAAAATATAAAGCAGAGAATGTATAATAAATGTGCCATGCACTATCTGTGCCTATTGCAAAACCATGCAGATTTAGTCATGAGGCATGTAATCCAAATACAGTAAAACTCCTTATAAGTAAGGTAAAATTATTAATATACGTATGTTAAAATTTTACACTAGGGGTTTTATTTGTTTTTTTTAGATAATAGTGTCAGTTTTTCTTCTTCAGTAGTTTGGGAGAACTGCTAGAACTTTTCAAGCAATAGTTTTGTGTTAGCCAAACATGAAAACATAGTCATCAGAGACAATTTAGTCATGGCAATATTTGCACACAGACAGAGGATTTAAGACCCTCTTTAGTTGGTGCTGCCTTTTTGTACTTTCTCTTTCTGTTTGTTTGTTTGTTTGTTTGTTTGTTTTGTTTGGATGGTCGGTTTGGGGGGATTTTTTTCTTTTTTTTCCCCCATCTCTTTCCTTGCCCTAAGGCAACAGCTCAGAATGAACAGGTAAATCAGGATAGAAAATCCACAGAAACTGCTTCTGTTTTAAGAGCTTAACCATCTGCCAATACCTATGCACAGTATTAGTAATAATAATTAGCTCAGTATATTTGCTGTATTTACACAACACAGTAGATCTGTTTGCCCATTTTTCACCTTTTGTCCTGATGTTTAGTTTATCTTTCCCATTCATTTAGAAAGAATAATAAAAATCAATGTTCAAGCTGCACTAATACAAACTCAAATAGGGCAACTGCTTTGTGTAAATCGTCCTGATTGCTAATACTATCTTAGTGCAGAGTCCTGGTGTTTTCCAGATCATAAGGATTAAAAGCTGGTTTGTACTTAAAGTGAAATGCAGTGGTATTTCAGGATTCTGTGACAAGAGTCACTCTAAAAAATAATTCCCTGGGAACTCAGTGACAATTTTGATCACAGTTTAGTGTGAATGTCTATGTATTTTTACAACGTTAACAATGGCTTTGTGGTACAGTCTGTAACAGCTTGAAAATACTCATTTCAGAAGTTCTTTGGAAAAGAACTGTTCTACCAATATTTTACTGTTCAGTTGGAGCAGCTTCTTGTTTTCTAAGTGGTTCACTTTTAAAAAAGCTGTTGAGCTTTGTATGGTTGAGAAACCAACATTCAGATGAAATGTCAGGTAGCTTGTGTGAGTGAGAGTAGGTCAAGTTCCAGTTTCCCTGTTAAACTCCCTATGCAGCACCCAGGGTTTCTGTGGGAGAGGAAGTGGCTGCTGTGATAATGGATGGTTCAGACAAGTGAAAGCTGGTGCCATGGTAGTTTCTGTAATGAAATAATTAGTTCTGTTTAAAGATTGCTGCTAAGAAGATAAACTCAGTTCTTTACAAGCTTTACATGGGAGTCATTCTGTCTGCTTTGGTAATCTTCTGCTCGCCCAGAAAAACACCTCACAAGTTATCAACATCTAAAGATAATTTATAGATCATTAATGGCTTTCATAAAAAGAAGAGCCCTGTGCATTCCTCCCTGTGCCTGTGACACAGGCAGTAATCAGATGGTCTAGCTTGGAAATGAGCAAAAGGATGTGCACTGACCACTTTTACTCTGCCACCCTGTGACCATGGAGAGGCAGGCTACAAAGGAGGCGTAGTACCAATATAAGGGTATTTTTCCATTGAAGAGAATCAAGCCAGAAATAATGAATAGCAACAACATAATTAGGATTCAAAGGCAACTTTTAAAGGTGCTAGGGGAGACAGTTCCTTAGTAGATGAAAATAACCACCAAGGAGTAGAAATCATGGTTGGTTTACATCGAGTGAACATCTGGTGTAACTGCTAAACCTGAAACCGTGGAAGGGAAATCCAGACTACTGACAGACAGAAGACAAAGAGTTGTACAAAACAAATAATATTTTCATGGAAATATTCATCTCATGTAGACTGGCTGACAAGATTTCATACTGCAAAGAGTGTGTGTGTGTGTGTGTGTGTGTACATATATATGCATATGTATATACTGTTAAAATACACTGGTTTATAGCTCAGAAAAGCTTTTTACCCTACAGTGGAGTACAGTGGTTGAAGTAACCTACAACCTGAGAGAATTACAATAATATTGTGTTTAGCCAGACTTCTGGCTGGTCCAAAGTGGTGGAACATCCAGGTAGTTAGAGGAACATCTGTTTGTACAGTTGAATTTTAATTTGGGTTTGTTTTCAGACCTACCCATAAAACTGAAACATAGTTCTAACATGAGACACATGAGTGTTATGGGCCAGTGTAGCAAAGAGTGATGTGAAGATTGGAGACACATAATAGTCACAAGATGGTTGTGATGGGACTTTGGAGCCTGAACTGGATTCTCTTTCCCCTTCCCAGTGAAGCAAAGAGGAATTACTCCAATCTGTCACCACGTGGGAGTCCTCTGATCTCCTAGTATGAGTGCTCCAGTATGGGGTGCTTCCCCAGCAGCATTTTGTGTCCTGAGTTGACTTCAGAATGATTTGGTTTCTCAACTGAGATTATTTTTCTCATCAGATTCATTGACCTGTTCTCAAGAGATTTGCAGGCAAATTAGATTTGCCTTCAAAACCTTGTATCCCTTTTCGATTTACAAAATGATCAACAGGCTAAATGTCCCTCTTTTTTTGGAGATATATTATGTTAAAAGGTCAACCTTAGACCTTAAATTTGCAGTGTCTTTTCCATCTCATGGTGCTTAACATGTCAGAAAATTGAATCAGAATGATAATCTTTACATTATGGGCAATATACAGAGAGTCCCAAATCAAGCACTGATTTTGTATGAATTGAAAGAAATTATGCTGCCAAACCACCTGTTTTGATACACTGCCTAATAAATGTCAGAATCCTACAAATCTGATAAATAAAATTTATTATTGAACTGTGAAATCCTTTAATTAAGGTAGAATATTTTTCCTGTATTATTTTCCCAAACTGCCTCTCCAATATCAAGGATATATGCACTAGGATTGGCACCAATTCACCTGGAACAGTGCCTGTTAAATGTATTCTGACTTATACTCACAGCTCCTGCCCTTCATTAAAGTTTTCTTAAGAAAGCACAGCAGAAACCTGTGTAAAGCCAGTAGAGAAAAGCTGTGACACTCCTAATCACAGTGTTGTTCAGATCAGTTATTCAAGTTGAGCACTGGTCTTAGGATTTAAGCCAAACAAGATCCCTTTCATTTATCTATTTCTTTCCCATATGGTGCCTTTCTAACCACCACTTTTGCTAGCAAAATGTAAAGTTAAGTACTAAGTGAAAGTCTAATCCTCTTAGTGATTTTCAGTAGCATCAGACTAGTTATGTTTTATTTTGATTGTTGGTTTAAAGATGTGCTGACAGCACAATGTAAAACGTATTACATCTAATGTTATAAACTGAAAAAGCCCTTGGTACTAAAAGCTAATGTTTCTATAGTGCAAAAATGCAGAGGGAATAAGTATTAATAAAAATGATGTAGTGGATAAATGATGAATTAGCTAGAGCCTCTGTGTTAAAGAAACCACAGAGTAAATAGAAAGGTGCTAATGCTTCTATGACTAGTGGGACATGATTGTACTTAGAAATGGACTGGTCTTAAAAATATATTTTGCCAAAGAAAGATTAGCTGAATGTGAAAGGAAGTCCACTCCTCTAAAAGGGAGTGTGACTAGAAGAGATCTAAGTAGCTGAACTTTGTAGTGCTTCCCATGTAATCATCTCTGTATAGTCCTTGTTCCTTTTAGCTGGATTGCCATCATCTCACCATACACAGGATTTCACCCCTAAACCTGAGACAGAAAATTACCTGACTGCATTACTAAATGCTCCTTCTCCACCTTATGATCAACCTAGTCTCTGCATGCCATCATGATAATAATATCATGCAAAGGAAAGAGCTAAAGGCAATTATTTTCTTCTAGATCTGAACTAGGATACTTTTCCCCATAAAACTCCTGAAGCAAAGATCTTCAGAAAGCTTTCTTATTCCATGTAGGATAAAGAAAATGTGCTAACTACTCCAGAAGTTCATATTTTATTCTGTTATCTCTCATTTTCCTCTGTGATGTTTACTGTGCTCAGGACTACTAAAAGAATTAACATATGAAATGAAAAAGCTTTACTGACTTGGCAGGTTTTGGTATAAAAAGTAGACTTAACTGATAAATAAAATAAAATAGAAGGGAGCAATAAAATTTCAATTTCAGTTAAATAGTTTGAGTTGCCCTCAAAGAAAGGCAATTGCTCCAAGGAAAATATACTCTTATAAAGTATAAAACCAGCAAGCAAAGAAAACAATTTTGAAAATTGAAGACGCATTTTTTCTTTTTGGGTGCTCTCCTTCTCACTCCTATGCTTTTTTTGTGTGAGTTTTCTTTCTTGAATTTGCTTTCCTGGTTGTCCCTTTCCCTCTCTGTCATGTCTTCTCACTTTTTCTTGTGTCTGAGCTCACCTGAGCCCACAAAAGCCTCCCTTCCTCTCTTCTCTCTTTCCATCTTCTTTTGTGTCCCTTTTTAATCTTTTTATTGTCCCACCCACTCTCTCTTTTCACTGTTCCTTGCCTTCTCTTTTCTCTCCTTTTTGTCTTTCTCATTCTTCTCTCTCACAAGCTCTCTTTATGCTTCTCCCTTAATTCAACAATGTCATGTATTATTCCCTATTAAGGGGAGAATTTACATGGTTATACTTTATGTTGCAGAATCCTGGAAATATGTGGCAAGGTTTTAAACTCATTTTTTTTGTCTAGAATGTGTATTTCTGCTCTCTCACTCATTTTCTCTCTTTGTGTGACCACACTCTCTTTTCTGCACCCTCATGCTCTTTCTCCCTTGGTTAATGCTTCATGGCCACTCAATCTCATGCCCTGGTGCTCACTTTCTTGCATCCTTTCTCCCTCTTCCCTCAGAGCTCTGTTTGTCACAAGGATTCCTTGTCCACCATTTCTTAATATTCACTCTTTCTCACAAGTTGTCCTGCTTTTTCTTATCCCCTTCCTCACAGCCCCTTTTTCTCGTGGCCTTGCACTGTCTCCCCCCTTCTCATGACCTCACCCCTTCCCTCACAGCCTCATCCTCACTGTCTCTCCTGCCTGCACACTCACTTCTTGCACATGCCTTCTCTTTCTTGAACAATCTCCTATTCACATCTTCTCATGCCCCCCCTCTTGCTTCCTTGTGTTTGCTGGGCTTTTTTTGCCTGACATATTTTTCAAGCACACTCTTTCTCACATTCTTTCTTCCTTTTTCTCCCACTCTCTTTCATCTCTCTCTCTCACACCTGCACTTTTGTGCAGCCTTGCTTGTGCATGCTTGTGCTTCTTTGCACACTTCTTTTCTCAGGCACTTGCCCTCTCATGATGGTGCTTTTCTTGCACCCTTGTCCTACCCTTTGTGATTTTCTTTGTATGCTTTCCTGCTCTCTTGCCATCGACCCTGCCCTTTCTTGCACCCCCTCTTTCCTGTGCCCTCCTGCTTTCTCATGAATGTTTTCTTTTATGTGAGCACTCCCTCTGATGTGGGCTTGCTCAGTCTTACATATTTGCTTTCTCAATCTATTTTGTGTGCACTTCTTTTCTCACATCTCACTCTTTCCTGCATGCAGGGATACTTTCTCATGCCCTCTCCTTTTCTCACACTTTGATTTCCCTCACATTCCCTTTCTTGTGTGCTCACACTTTCTCACAACCTTGTGCTTAACCCTTTTCACACCTTGCTGCTCAGTTTCTCACTTCATTTCTCTACCCTCCTCCTTGTGCTTTCTCCCTCTTTATTTCTTGTGCATTCCCTTTCTGGAATTTCCCCTTGCTTGTGGCCTCACTTTTCTTGTGACCTCCCCCTTTCCAGCACCCTCCTTGCACATGCTGGTAGTTTCTCCTGCAACCATGCTCCCACACACCATGGGCTTTGTCCCATCCTCTTTCTCTCCTTTCTTGTGGCCACCCTTTCCCACACTTTTGTTTTCTTGCTTGCTTTCTTGACCATGTCCTCCATTGGTCACACCCTTGCTCATTTCCCTGCACCTGATCTTTTTGGTGCCCTCCCTCTCTCATATGCTCACTCTTTCTCATTCCCTGGCTCTTCACCTACTTCTGCTGTTTCTCATTGCTTACTCTCCACTTCACACACTCCTGTGCTTCCTCCTGCACTCACAACCTTTACATTCCCTTAGTTCACTCTTCCTCAGGAAAATTTCTCATCCAGTATTTCTGTCTCATGCTTTCTTTCTTGTCCTCTCCCGCTCTCATTCATGGCTTCTCTCACACATTCCCTCTCCCTCCCTTGCTACCTCATCTCTTTCTTTCTCTTCTCCACCCCTCCCTGTTTTGAGTGCTGGCTCTCCCTTGTGCACTCACTTTTTCTTGTGCTCTTTCTCACAGCAGTTGTGCTTTCCCATGTGCTCCACTTCCATCCTCTTCCTCATGCCCTCGTAATTCTTCATCCATGTCCTACTCTTTGTGCCTTCACTCTTCCACGTGGACCTCCTGGTTTTTCTTCACACTTGCTTTTTCTTATGTTCCTCACACCCTTAAGCTCCATCTTTCTCACACAAGATTTCTCTTTCTTGCTTGAGCTTTTTCTCACATTTTTCCTCTTTCAAGCACTAATTCTCACATGCTCCTCATTATGCTCTTTCTCCCTTTCTCTCTCTCCTCCCTGTCTTATCCTTGCTCTTTCCCCCACTTCTTCCCTCTTCTCTTTCTGTATTCTTTTGGTGTATTTTCTTACATTTTCTTACCCTTTTCATCTCCCCACCACTCTCTGCTTTCACTGTTCCTTGTCCTATCTTTTCTTTCCCTTTTTAGCTCTCTCATACTCTCTCTTTCACACGAGTTCTCCTTTATTCTTCCATCTCTTCATTAAATACTCTCTTCAACAAAATTGTGTTTTATTCCCTATTGTGGGAAAAGTGTATGATTGCATTTCACATTGCAGAACCCTGGAAGTGTGTAACAAGTTTTCAAACTCATCATTTTTGTCTAAAAGTGCTCCATCCACAACTTCAGATGGGGAGGCTGAACCATCATTGCTATATGGCAAAATACTTGCAGTGATAAAAAGTAAATGCTATAATAAAAAAAATGCAGTTGCTGTCAAAACCCAGGCTCAGCTGGATGTTCAGCACTTCCATGTGTTTCATAAACTAGGCACCAATTTCCCAGGAAGCATTAACTCATTAGTTCCTAGAATAGGCTCAAGTATGTAACTTGAGTATTTTCAAGAAGTTCACCACAAAATATTTCTCCCAAAATATTTATTTTGGTTTATCAAGAATCTAGCAGACTGAGGCAAATAAATATCCATTGATAAACATTGTGCTTGCAAAAATTAGTCATGCCTTTGAACTGCTGCTCCACCAGTCAAAAATATTGCCAGTAAAGCTTTATATATTAATAATATAACTTCAAATATACATCTGTGTTTATCTTCTGTACTAAAGGAACAAATGCCTTTAAATAATAATATATTATGTTAATTTCAATGGTGTTACTCTGCTGTTAGTCACACTGCTATAAATTTGATTTATTCCTTAATTAATGCAGCTAAAATTAGTAATCAAAATTCATTGGGAAAATATTCAGTGCAGATCAAAATGGCAACATCTAAAATTTAGGATCATCAGTTAGAGTGTCTTTAGTTTTGCCATCTGCTTTCACTTAACTCTTGAATTATGAAATGGCAGTGTGTCTATGTAATCCTAGCTCGTGGAGTTGCAGGATAAATGTGAAAATCTTAGTTTTTATTAAAATGTTTATATTCTTCATGGTTGAGCAAAAAGAACCTTACATGTGCATTAAAACACAGAGTTCAAAAATTTGAATGCAAATGGCATTTTTAATTCTAGACATTATCATTATTTTGGGGGCCTAAACCATAATTGTCAAATTCTGGGAGCTGGCAGCATTGTTTCTCTCTAATTCTGAGTAATGGGGTTACCTTTCTGCATCAAATTAACTTTTTTTTCCTGTATAGAAGTACTAACTATAAAACATTTCTATGGTTCATATAGAAGTTTTCTGGCATATGATTTTCATAGTTTTCACAGGAATTTTCATGTAGGGTTCAGTTGGAGATATACATCTGGTTTTACTCCTTCTGAGCAGATAATATTAATTTTTACTGTACCCTCAGCTTTACCATGGCAATCTATGGTGTCTTAAGTCATGATACTGTGAACTCTAGCATTTGAGTACTTACTAAAATCAACATCTAAATGCCTTTTTAGAGAAAAAAAACTAAGTAAAAGATTTCAAAAGACGGGGGAGATAAAACACATTCCATTATGCAAATCACACAAACACCTTCCTATTAAAATTAGAGTTAATATGTTTGCAAGTGTTCATCTCTGTTTAAATGTGTTTTAGGAGGGCTCGATGGACAGCTTGTATGAGCCTGTCCCAGAACATCAGGAATCCAAGGATACAACTACTCCTGAAAGCCAGCCTACGACTCCAGTGAGCACACAGGCAACCTGTGGGCCACCTGACAGGTCTATGTCTTTGGTAAGCAACACTTAATTGCAAAGCATGCAATGCATTTTGCAAAAAAACTTCCTGCTCTGTACGTGGGCACATGTGTGCTCCACTGGTTTATTTGCCAGTTTGAACTATTTAGGCTCAGCAGAGCCAGTGTTCAAATCTCATCTCTGTAGCCAGTGACCTGATTTCTGTCCAGTTGCAACATGCACATTTGAAAGCAGGTCATGAGTTTCACTACAGCAAGCAGCAAAGGGAGATTAGTGCAGCTGCACTGGACATGGGACTTTGTCTTTGCAAGTAACAGTGTATGAAAACTCTGGGTACAGTTATTGGTATCATTTGTCTCTAAAAAATATACTACCACTGTCTTTGGTTGTCCTTTTTATTAATACAAAAAAATGTATTTCTAAAGCTTGAGTTGCATGAATTTTGTAACTGATGGCCTCTGGAATAAACTTGACATTTTACAAGACCTCATTAGGCAAACATGGGAAGAAGGTTGTCTTCTAGTTTTTTCTTTTTCCTTCCTAAATGATGTTACCCTACTTAATCCCTTCTTATTTGCATGTTATTGGTATAATAGATGATGCTTTGACAAATACTTTAACATGGCATATTAAATTTCATAAAATTAGTTTCATAATCTCTATTCTCTTCTTTGCAATGTGCCTTTGCTTATAATTACTCTTTCTATTTTAATGTATGATGCAGTCTGGTGATAGAATAGAGGGGAAAACAGGATGTTCATCATTCAGAGGACACTGTCCTCCCTTCAGATATTGTGCCAAGTTTACTCACATGCACTCTGGGTTAGGTACCATGTACCTGTGAGACTGCTGGGCCTTTGGTGTTGAAATGTCACACAGCAGGTTTGCACACAGGATTTGCCTGGAGAAAGTGCTGCAGCTGGTGGGATGGGAGAATGCCTGGGGAATTGTGGCATGCACTTGTTAAATTGGTAAAGGACTAAAACCAACTTGTTCTCAGACCCATCTCCTGCAACCATCTCACTCTGTGCATGCCCCTCTCTTCCAGATAATCACCTTAGGACTGTAAATAATGGTTCTGGTTTTGAGAATGTAGCAGTGAAGAGATCTCAAGGAGATTCCTCATAGCATCAGCACAGATCTATGGGCTCTGAAATGTCGCCACATTATAATTTCCTGCAATAGGTGGGAGATGCTCTCCTGAGTGAAAGGATTTTTCCCCATTACCAGGCTGTGGCCTTGTCACTATAGTAATGAGCTACTTCTACAATGTTCCAGTTAAGGATGTATAATTGTGGTTGTGAAATATGGCTGTGAGCTCATCCTAGCCTGACTGGAGTATGGTCATTGTGGAACACTCTAGTTATTTGTATTTGTATTCTGTATGCCATTCTACATGCCCAAAGATAAACATTATAGTACAGCTCCTACATCCATTCAGTCTTTTCCCCCTTTGCTGTGACTCCAAACCAGCTTAAATTTCATTGACTGCTATACTAATATTTCCTTGGCCAGTAGGTGTTCGTCTGCTAGAAGCAGTATCTATGTAAAATGTATTTTATGTAAAATGAAAAAGGCAGATTTGTTTTTTGGTTTGTACCCAGAATAAGACCTATGATATCCTAATGGACTTTGCAGTAGAAAACTAATAGAAATTGCCCTATATTTTCTCAAGGTATCGTAAAGACACACCCATAGCACTGTGCTCTGCTATTGTTTGCACAATATATAAAACTAAGACTTAAAACTGCAGTTTACATCAGGCTGTTTCTTGCTTTTTCTTGTTTTATTCTGCTTTTTATTTGGTAGTATCTTCAGATTTTTTGTTGTATTGGTTTAGAGTTAGGCTTCATAAATTATTTGGCTAAAGAAAAATAATCAACCTATTCAGTAAAGAAATTTGTTTTCCTTGAGCCAACCTGCAGAAGCAGATTTGCTACTAGTGTAGGATTAGAAAATCACATACATTAATCTGAACAAATTTTAGCAAAACATCTTTCACATTGCTCAGTGGTTTCTGGGATAGCACTACAGAGTCCATGAAAATATCTGTATAACACTGAATAGAAGAATCCAGCACCTTGGTTTCTGCTACCTCTTATCATATATTTTTGTTTTCTTAAAGGAGATATTGTGGTGATGGCATATTTATTCATCATTAAATATAAAGTTCATCCTCAATAAAAACAACACTAAATAGGGTAGGCACACTTGACTCACTAGGAATAAACAAGAAGCTTCTCAAGGCTGGCCCTGGGTTTTATTTTCTGGTTTAAGAGAAAATAAAAGAGTTAAGCTCAGCCTTTAACTAAAAATAACGTCTGGATGCTGTGTCACTGTGCTGGCTGTAGAATCAACACGATTATTTATAAAATACTTTCTAGAAATGGAAAACAAGATTAGGGATGATGTGTCGGCAGAAAGACCTATGGAAAAATGTGGCTAAGGCCAGAGGCCTGTGTGTAATCTTATCTGCTATTTCTGGCCTGTGAGTTATTACAGCTACACCTTGGATGAAGCCGTTAAGCTTATTAACCGAGCCCATTTGTACTTCTCTCCCATTTTTAATTCCGTCACTCGGTTCCAGGCTGCAGGGCAGCCCCCACAGCGTGATGAATTCAGGACATTATTGGCTCCATTTAGCCATCCATCATTATGCAGTAATGCACATATGTAAGTGCACTGCTAAGTAGGTATGGACTCGAGTGAAGGTTTAAATGGTTGGCTGAAGCACGGCAGGTTCCACAGAGCTGCTAAATCTCCAAAGGGTGCAGCAGCCTGGCACAGCACACTTCCTCCTCAGGAGGCTTTGCTCCTTCCTTTTTCCCATATAGCTTCAAAATCAACAGGGCAGGCATCCAGGATCAGCTTCCCTCACATTTAAAAAGGGTGACTAGGGCTAGAGAAAATTCTTCCTTGTAATGCAGCGAGGTAGTGATTTTCTTGCAGTGAACTCGGCTGTTGTGATTTGTCCTAATCATGGCTGGGCTGTGAAGTTCTTCTGGAGATGTGGGAAATGCAGGGTAGTGTGGTCACTGAAGCTCTGCAGGACATCATTCACTGAACATAGTCTTTGGACATTGCCTTTTGAACCATGGATCCTTTTCCTCCTGGCCAAACATCTGCCCAAATGACACATCCTGTATGAAGAAAAATCTGCTTTTCATGTACACTGTTCTTCTCCTTCATATAACTCCAATATAACTCCAGAGTTCTGTTTTGGTTCCTGTGTTACTATCTTAAGCCTGTTATGCACATTTGCCTTTTGATTTTAATCCTCTTGGAGAATTGGCCTGTTAACTTTGTGATTACTTTGCCTGTTGCTCAGCTTCAGTAGTATTCTCAAAAAGAAAGAAAAAAAAATAGATTTATGGAGTTGTTTTTGTACTTCATGCATAGCAAATCTGAATTGGACTTCCTCAAAAACAGCTTGTAGCCATGAGCACATAATGAATCACATGGGTACTCTTTGCCTGTAACTCTGCTATTAACTGGGAAACTGAATTTCCACCTCTTGTCACCTGGTGTTACAGTCTTCTACCTCATGAGCTGTCTCCAGCTTCAGAGGAAGAGTCTCTAGTATAAAAACCATCTTCATATGTATCCTGCAATCACCAAGTGTCATAAGATCCACATGTTTTTGAACTGCTGGCAGTGATATGATTGACTACCTTATATTTCAGAAGAGTGCCAAAAAATTTATCAGTCGTTCTTAGCTGTTGCCAGGAATACAAAAATCAGTTGTGATACCTGCCTTAACCTGCAGTGTTATAATTGGCTTTTGGTCCCAGTGAGGGCAAGAAGAGGGCTGGTTATCTGAAATGGTCATTTCCCTGTTTGCAAGCCTTAACACCACAGGAGCTCTAGCTTTTCTCAGCCAGCTTGGAAACACCAGAGGGTTTAATTCAATTCACTAATTGAGAGTTATTTGATAAAACCAGGAAGAAAACATCGTGCAGGGTTTCCACATATGCAGTTTTTTCCAGGAAACAGATTGTTCATATTTGGGATAAGGAAGGAAAGAATTGTTCCCATAAAGAAGATAATTATGCTCTTTAGAGGATGTGGAGAGTAGAGTCAAGGTGAACCTTTATTTACATTCTAAGATAAAATATGTTTTTAAAAACTAGTTTCGTTTAAAAGTTACATATAATTTTTAACGTAGTCAATACTGAAAAGATACTTTGAAAAAGTACAAACCAGAGCAATTTATTCTTGTACCCCAATTTAGCCACCTGATTCAGAAATAGCAGGAAGAGTGTGTTGATTGAAAGGTGCCATTTTTAAATGGCCATTTAAGTCCATAACATATCTTATTTTGGCACAGCATCCCGTGATATCCTGTGAACTCACATCAGTCATCACCTCAATATATGATGTACTGTCATCAAAGCAACTTTACTGGACTTTAAGAATTGGTTTCAAGTTGTGGAGCAAAAGATTAAACCCTTTTTCATGGTCTATTCCAGCTTTTTGGTGTGTGAACATATGAATCAAATCTTTCAAGGTATATTGCCACAATGGGGCCTGTCTCCAATTTTTTCCCTGGATCATATACAGATTTTAAATTACAATATCCTTTGGCCTTTGACCATGCATAATGCTTCCTTTAACAAAGCAAACTGTTCAAACTGCTTGAAATCAAATATTTGATATTTTTCAATTAACTTTGGACACTACCCATTTAAAGAAGCCTTAAAATCACTTTTTAAACTTTTTTTTTAACTTCTCTGTGTTTGTGCACCTCAGTTAGTAATTTCTCTTGAGTTATTGAAAACACCTACCTTTAGTCCCAAGACTAAAATGCTGACATTTTTTTCAGCAAGAAATTTATTTTACATTGCTTACATTATTTCAAAGTGAATGATAAATTCTATATACTTTTAAAATCTACATGTAGCATCTGTGAACAAACTGACACAGGAAAAAAAAAAGATGTGGAAACTGCATACAATTATTAACATTTACAAATATCCTTTCTAAAAGAACCTCCTACACTCAGCTAAAATAACAGCATAGGAAAACAGCCTTTTTTTTAATGCACTCCCTGAAAAAGCTTAAAAAATCTATTATGAGTTTTACTGAGAGGAGGGGAGAAGTGTAAAATGCTCAATTATGCACTTGTATGGTTTTATGTAGTACAGGTTTTGGGTTTTTATCATGCAACCTGGATGACATTTTTAAATTACTGTGGTCAGAGTCATGCAGATATAGTTACAAGAAGGAAAGAAATTAAACATAATATTATGAGAAATGGGTCCAGTTAGACTAAGTTTTCAGATTTATAAAATAATGAATGCTTATATTATTTTTTAATGCCTCTTGCTGCACAACAGATTAAAGTGGTATCATCATGGACATTTTTAGCCCAGTTCCTGCTTTTCAGGCTGGGAGAAATAAATAAGAAAGTGATACAGTGCTTTGATATCCTGTCTAAGGAGATATCACAATAATATAGGGACAGAGGTCTCTTCTGTCCTAGCACGACATCCTTAGGTTTTCCTTGAACTAAAAATTAACCTCAAGTCCGTGGTTTACTGCACAGCAAACATGCATTGAGATGTTTTGGTATCATTTGCCCAGGAAAACACCTTTCTGTTGTCTCTTTCAACAGCTAAGTCATTTCTCCTCCTTCTCACACCTTGTCAGGGTATAAATATTTATTGTCTGGGCCCTGGGGACTGGGTGACCTCGCCTCCAGGACTGTGTTTGATTCTGATTTGGTCCCCTTCAGAGCTTTCAATTTTATCTGCAGTTTCCTGCCCTCTTCCACATCCCCCTGCACGTTTGGGTTTACAGAGTTTGTGTCCCAGGTCTGTCAGGAAACCACAACCCATTGCAACGTGTGGGCATTTTAATCCTCGTAAAGTTACAAAGAATCATACTGTGGAAGAAATATGATATTCATTCCTGGGGTATGAGCAGGGTTCTCTGGTTTTTCAGGGGTGTTATGGTTGTCAGCTTCCTGGGAGCCATGGATAACCGGAGCCTTCTGAAATCAGGACACATAATTACATATATTCTCTGCTGCACTGCACCCTCCACAGGTTCAGCTGTTGGAAAAAGAAAGACTGGAAATTTTAGTGGATATTAAAAAGCACACATCCAAAGTGTATAATTCATTGTCTTTTCAGTGACAAAAATAATATATTTGGATTAAGCGGCTTTGATTTTCACAGACCTTTTTTCTCTATCTTTTTAAAAGGAGTTCCCTGACATTGAGAACACACTGACCAAAAAAAGAAAGTAAGTTGAGACCAGTGCAAGGTCTACAAGTGTCACTATATTTGTCTTTACCTTTCATCCTTGTTGTTTTACTAATGTTTGCCAATGTTGCTTTCATTCTCATAGAGTATATGTATTAATGTTGCAGTTGAAGAGCACATAACAAGCTTGTAATGCATTACTAAGGCTCTTTTGCCATGACTTTTTCATTTCCACACAGCTTTCTTCCAAAATATGAGAATCAGGACAGCTAAAATCAAATGCAGTTAATCTGAGCTTCGTTTAACCATATGTCTGCTTTCCTGAGAGATTGAAGTGGTAACCTATTTTAGACCATGTTTGCACCATTGACCTGATAATCTCCTGAAGAGGTTTCTTTTTTTTGTTGTTGTTGTGTTTTTAATCCAAGTAAAAAAATCGTTTGCAAAGTGATTTGGATAAAGCAGGTCAGACATAATTTTATGAATCATTTTTGTGATAGCAGCATGTTTTGAATCCATTCACGAACACAATGCTATGGTTTGGGCTAATGATGAATATTTGTTAGCAGGGAGAGGAATTTATTTTGAAAATTCTTTTTTTGCTTCATGTTGAAGGCTATTGCATTTCTGAAGGGGACCCCTCCAAATGAAATCTGAAATCCTGCCTAATGGAATGATACAGACAGATCTTATCTGTCTGCTGTGACAGACATGAAAATCCCTGGAGTTTTTGTTGGTTTTTGTTTTCTTCATTTGTAGGTGGGGCCCCACTTAATTCAGAACACCAATGTTATCTGTGTCTCTTGCTAAAAAAAATATCTCAAAATGGGTAAAGATTTCTAAGAAAATTAAGAGCTCTTTTGTCTTAAGAGTTTTAATCTATTTCTTGTCATCTGATAAAATCGCTAGTAACTTATCAGCTTTGAACACAAAGATGTACACTCATCTGTGAGATCTCAACTATATGTCCCCAGTCAGGGCTCCGTGAAACTCCTCCCAAAATTTCCTTAATTAAAATATGGACATAAGTCTATTACTCATGGATTCCTCATCATTTTTGAACACTTAAAATGAAGTCAAACTACTGCATAGGCCTTATCTGGATGCCTAAAAGTGTCCTGCTTAGATAAGAACTAGGTTTGCCCCAGGAAAAAAAAATAGCAGTCTATAGCTAGAATGTCAACATTTACAATGCAAATAAAACTATTCTCTTTGAAACCTAATCCTATTCTAAAAAAAAATCAGAATTTAGAAGGATTGTTGAGATAATTTGACTGATCAATTAAAAAAAAAAAAAAGAGTGGGGTAGAAGAAAATAGTCTGAATCAACATGAAAAGATTTTGTAATGAAAATTATTTTATCATGTCCAGCCATCACTATCCTGGCATGGCACTTCCAGTGAATATGTGGAAATTTTCCCATTGACCTTTCATGTAGATATGGATGAAGTGAGCAAGGAATTAATCATTCTCTGTTTCCTGCAATTGAGCAACAAGGAAGCGCCCAATTATATGGAGTAGCAGAAATAACCTAAATATTCCTTGTCCAGGCAATAAGAATTAAACTGTGGAATTCTGGAATCACAAAATCCAATAAATTTCAAAGGAACCAGTGGGTACAGACCAGTTCCTTTAAAAACCCACAACTGTTCAGCTGCAGCCTCTTGCTCAGGAAACCCTTCAGCACCTACATGACTGAGGATGGGAGAGGGGTCCCAAATTTTGTGCTCTTTCCCTTCTGCTGATCGTCACAGATGAGACAGTCCCTGCTCTCACCTACTATAACCACTGCTCATAAACTACTCTCCTTTGGGTTTTTAATGGATAAAAAGTGAAACAAATTAACCTCTATTCAAAGATTTTCTTTTTCTTCTGTTAAGTTAGTCTAGTCTTCAAGTTCTCCTCTATGAATTACTGACTACAGATGGAAGCAAGAATTAGGACTAATCCTTGATGTAAATGTGCAAAAAGCTCAAGGTTTACTGGGGCAATAAAATGTCCCTCAGAGTCCTGGGGATGGCATGTTCATATGTAGCTCTTTGGTTTAATCTGTTATCATGTCACCAAAATTAAGGGCGTAATTCTAAAACTTGTAGGACGCTTCAGTTCTAAAGGAAAGTATCTCTTCTTCCCCGGATTCCAACATGAATTCTTCATTTCAAAAAGTAACTTGGGTCACATATTTTTGCAGAATGGAACCTCAGACACTTTCAGGTCTTTGTGTGGGAACCTCAGATACTTTCAGAGCTTTTTGTGGTGTGTGGGAGTAGATGATGGGTGAATGAGACAAGTAACTCCAATTAAAGCCAGTGGGAATAACAGGAAATAATCCCTGTGCCCTGCTTTGAAGAATTAGTTTAAAAATGCCCGTATTTCATTAAACATGCTTTGATTTTTTCATTCTGACTTTCAGCTAATGGTAAATTCTTTTAATTCTTTTAGATCCATCCAGAAGTCCATGTCTGAAAATGAAGCATTTGGTTAGTAGCTGCTTAAATCATCTACTGTTTACTTGCTAATCTCAGAGAACCAACTTTAATTAAGGGTCTGATTTGTTTTACAGCTGTTGGAGCAAATGCAGAGGAAAGGAGAAAATAGAATTAAGCTATCAATATAGTCTCCCTTCTTCCCTGCTTTCCACACACACATTTGTAGGTAGATATTGAAAACAAACTAGTTAAATATAGAAACCACATTGAGATGAACCGTTATAGGACAACATTAGAAATACTCAGCATGTCAGTGTTTCTTTTAATTATTTCAATGAAACACTGAAATGTCTCTGATCTAAGAAAATTCAGGTCCCTTTCCCATTTTAAACTATTTTGTGAGAATTTCACAAACAAGATCATCAAGACAGAAATTCAGGGGTTTTGTTAAACCCATCCTGACACTGTGTATTGTTATCTACACTTGTGTTTCAATGGGTTCTATCTTGTAAATACTCTATAGGAAAAAATCATCAGCTTCTTAAAAGTAAAATTTCCTGGATTTTTTTTTTTCAGTGAGAGCTTCCTGTTATCATGCTTTCATTTATTCTTTGGAGTTTTGGTTTAGTTGTTGTATCTAGTGCTTGCTGAGTATAAAGGCTATTGTATGTGGCTGTAATGATGTGGATCTATTTCACAAGGTGTCTCAGATAGATGAAAGCTCCCCTGTGTTAAGGCTTCACTCTGTAGCCCTGCACTGGGAGCACTTTCATGCATTCAGTGTCATTTGGTCTACAGCAAACAGGCTGTAATGAATTCCCAGCACCTGACAGGATCAACAAGAGCTTTCACAAAGAAAATTTTCTGAGCGAAACCCAGCATTAAATAATACTCAACAAAAACGAAACCAAACAAACCCAGAAAGCACAAACCCTGAATAGTTGTCTATGATTTATGAAGCATGAGGGAAATTCACTGAGGGAGCAGGAGAATGACCATGTCTTTCTCAAAGCCAGCCTAATTCAGCCATCCAGGCTGAGACAGTCCAAGCCTAGGAGTCCATGGGGCATCACTGTGGGCATCTTTGGTGATTCCTTGCAAACACTCTAGTTCAGTAATGGTAGACTTAATAACAATAACAACAACAAAACAACAAAACAACAACAAAACAACAACAATAACTTCTTCTTCTTCTTCTTCTTCTTCTTCTTCTTCTTCTTCTTCTTCTTCTTATTATTATTATTATTATTATTATTATTATTATTATTATTATTATTATTATTATTATTATTATTATACTATAATTCCTGGAAGCAAAACAAAAGCACAGATCTTCTATGGGATGCTAGGTCTTAAATCCAGGGTTAAGATAATAATCATCCTGATCTTGTGTTAACAGTGTTAAATGAGGTATTAGACCTCAGCAAAAGATGATAAAACTTGAAGTCTGACCATAATAAATATTATCCATCCATCCACCTGTCCATCCATCAAAATTCCTATACTTCAAAATCATCAGTTCATTTCCATGAACTGAGCAGATGTTCCAGTGTCTGCTATCTTGTTTGATTTGCTGATGCTATTTTTACAGAATTTCCTGTTATTTCACAGGTTTGCTCTGAATTCAGGTGACTCCTCTCTGTGCTTTTACTTTAGACAGGAAAAATGTGAATGGCACACTTTGGCAGGGTTCCAGGAAGCCGGAGAATGATTCCTACATAAGAAGGCACTGCCAGCTTGAAGGTAATTGCTAAACAGATTTCAGCTGATTTTGCATTTTCAACGAAGTATTTAAAAGGGCACCTAGGAAAATTTCTCATTTTCACAAATAATCCAGCTAAATAATTTGTCAGATCGTTTAGGGGTTTATTTTGTCCCCAAGAGGGGCAAAAGCAGTTAAAATAAAGCTTATCTTAAAACTGGGAAGTTAAGAACACACTCTATGACTAATTCTCTCTGTAGTCCATAGGAGACTTCCCCTATTGTAAATTGCCACAGCTGTGTTGTATAGGGCTTGCCAGCCATAGTAATCTCTGTTCCCTGGATATTTTACACAGCTCCAAATATCCAACAGGGAAAGGTGGAACTTTTCTCAGAAGAAAATTCTTGTGGCAGGTGCAAAAGAGAGTTGGCAAAATTTTAGATGCACGTACTTTGTCTGAGTCTCTTTCTAATCCTTTTTTGACTAACTTTATTAAACAGCCTTACAGTTAATGCATGGGAAGTTGCTTATGAGACTGCTTAAGAGTGTACCAATATAAATTCATTAAAATAACATTGAGTATTAACAAGTAAACAGTCACCTCACCTATTTAAAGACAAACTGGACTTTAAAAATCAAAATGCTTTGATAATCTGCTTGATGTTGCTTCCAGGAATGGCATTTATATTGTACTTTTCAAAGTTAAGGTAGCTCTCTTACTATTGCTTAATCAGACCGTACCACACAAGGCTCAGCAGAAGCAGAAACTAAGATATGTGAGATTAAAGTGGAAGTATGTCTTGTTCTCAATTTAAACCAAAAACTGTAGGAATATCTCCTGCACAGATGGTCTAGAGATCATCCAATGATAGGAGATTCCACTATTACCTGGATATGTCAAAGAAAGCAAAGGACAGGGAACTTTCCTTCTGAATTTTGTTCAGTTCACCACTTGAAGTTAAACAATTAAATGTTTGGAAACAGATCTGGAATTGCAATACATATTGCATTTGCCCATCTATGGGCAAATTTGGTTTCTTGAACAAGAGCCAGAGAGATAGGAAGATTTAGAGGAATTCTTGTACTGAACTAGTGAGGGGAAAGGGACCTTCATTGAGTGTCATTGGCCTGCAAGGAACAGGTCCTAACGATAGGTGAAAGAAATATAAGGCATTTCTCTCCTGACAAGTCTTACTTTCAACCAAAACCATTTTGGAATGATTCTTCCAATGATATTCCAATGAGAGGTTGCTGGATTGGAAGTGGGGAGAGGCTGAATGAGAAAGCAGAACTTTTTGACCTTCCTCAGAAGTCTTTTCTACTCCAGGCATTTTTTACCCTTTTAAATATCCAAAGCATGCAAAAGAAGCAGTGCACATTTTAAAAGCTGACAAGTGTTGTAATTGAAGGGCAGGGGCCCAGAGGGAACAGGAAGCAAAGCTGGCAGCTAAATAAAAATCTCCCTTTCTCCTACTGCAGTAAAATTATTTCAAGGGAAGTCCCCTTCACTCCTTTGCAAGGAGATTCACAGTGTATCACTATTGATCAAGATAATTCGTCATTATTGATCAAACTTTTCTCTTAGCAGAGATAATCCTTCAAGGGCTGCAAGTCTATTGCACAAAATGAATTTCTGTTATATTTTAAAAGTCATGTATGGTGGTCACCATAGACTTCTCTGCTTACTTCTGAGTTGTACCCACAGAGCTGTCTCAAATCTCTTTAAATAATTGTAGAGACATCCACAGACACTGGTAGCCTTTGGATGAAGCCCTTGATGATATTGTGCATTATTACATCTACAAACCCAAATTTTCCAGGATGAAAACACAGTGAACACATATTTATCCCACAGACACAATAGTGGAAACACCTGCCTTTGCTCACAAGGCCAAACCCAAATCATCAGCACGAGATGTCCCAGCTTTAAAGCATCATTGTTGAAAAGCTGACTGTGTAAGTTACATTCATTGGGTTTCCATGAAATGGAGACAAACAGGAAAGAATTGACACCTGTCAGAGCCAGTGGATGTAAGTCTCCCCTGGTCCTGATTTATTCCACAGGAGAGTGACTGGTACTTGTTGCCAGACAAGGAAGACAAGAACACTGCAGCTCTATTTGAAGTTCATTTATATCTTTTGCATGTGGTTGGTATTGTTGTTTGGTTGTTTTTTTTACACAAATACCTTATTCCATAATTCAGTGTGCTGGAGAGCTGATCTAAGCAAGATGCAGGAGCACTGTGGGTACAGGTTATTTTGACTAACAAGAGACATTATGGCTGGGGGGACCATTAAGGTTTGCTTTAATAAATTGCTGTTTGAATTTGGGTTTGAACAATATTACGTCAAAAGCAATGTCACTGCATGTAGTCTTTCAGATTAAGGACATTATATGTTTCCCCACAATTGTTTGTGATTCAGCTGCAAACAGCTCCTCAATAATAGTATTTTGGATTAGACTGTAAGAGGACTTTGGGGAAAAGAGCTGAACACTGCAAGATTTAATTTCCAGATTAAGCTCAGGGAGCATAGGGATGTAGTGTACAGAGATGTCTGCAGGAGATGAAAACAAGTTATCCTGAGGACCAGAAGGAACCCAGTGATGTTAATCTGGGTTTGCATGAGCACTGCTTAATATGAGTTATGGTGCTCCTGGAAGTCCAGCTAGCGATACAATGAAATAAACAACCAGATTGTCAGACACCAGGCCCCCAGTGACTTCAGGGAGATTTGTAGGTGCTTAAGACAAAATCTGGACCAGGATCTATCTCTGAATATAAATTTAAATGATCACAATCAGACACTTTTTGCATATGATAGCTAAAGAATCTAAGTCACTCAGAATTATTCCGTGAATTACTCTTTCTTTTCCTGTTAATTGTAAAGAATAGTATGCAATCAGTCTCGCCTGCCTACAGTTAGTTTTTGTGGATCTATATTTTAAATAAGCTGTCCTTTTGCAAACAGGAGAATTACTGATGCTGTAAGGTATCCCACAGAAGCAATAAAGATGCCAAATTACGATTAATGAGAAAAACACCAAATCCAACACATTCCTGCTGTTTTCTAGTGACTTTAGAAAATGTGGTGTGATTAGCAGATATTTTTCTTCATGTTTTTTTTTTTCTCCCTGCAAAATATCTGAGTGATCCTGATATCTATTCTGATGGAATCTAATCACTAGGGCTGTCCTACTGTTGTGCAGTAGTGGATGCTTTGCCTTAAGATTGGGAGTAAATGTAGATCTTTCAAAGAAAGCTTGCTTAAAATAATTTTTCAGACTTGTTTGACCTATTGTTGCAGTGAAGGTTAATACTCTTCCCATCCAAACATTCATTTATTGCAAGAGACGGGGGGATGTTCATCCTTTGAAAGCAATTTCTAATCTAATCTAAGCTAAACAGATCTCAGTTGAAAAGATCATTTTTGCCCTTCATTTTCCATATGAATATTCTAGACTTTGCTGCTGTACATTAGCAGGGCAAAAGGAAAGTCACAGTGGGTTCTGGGTTAGTAAACTGAGTGCTGAGTACAGAAGAAATAAGCACGAATGAGTTTTCTTTCTGTGAGTCAGTTTGCCAATTTGTTCTGCAGTCTCACTTCAAAGCAGTTTAAGATAAAATGTATGCTTAAATGATATAAGATTAACTTCAGAGAGTCAAAATGTCAGCTCAAAACATCAAGTGCAATTCAAATGATATTCCTCATAAAAACATAAAGCAGGACATTTTAAAGCATGTTTTCTCTTTTTTGGTCATAATTCACAGAAGATAATATTATTGCTGATGGAATACATTTGCTCCAAGGAAAGAAGATAGAAGAAACAACATGTCAGGTGAAACAACTACTCTTTATTTTTCAGAATCTAAATTTTCATTCAAATAAAATTCCATTTCTTGTTTCCATTCAGCATTTGCCTAGCCTAAACTTCATACTCAACATGCCCCTGTATTCTAGAAGCTGATTTTAAAAGAAGACTCTGGTGACTTCCAAAGTTGTTAATGATTTTTCTTATGCAGGCCATATGGATTTCATTGCCTAGAAAACCTTTTCCTTCCCTGAGTGAATACATTTTTTCTAAACTGATGTGCTAGAGCTGTGTCTGGCAAGATCTGTAATAAGTTTAGATCTGTCTTGCATGATCCATATTGGCATATGTATCCTAATGCTTTCTGAATTTCTATAAACATATACCATATCTCTTCTTCCTGAATCTCTATCAGTCACCCCACTGGCACGAGGAATTAATGAATTCTGACCCCTGGGTTTGCATAATCATAGAAAAAAGCATAAAAGTAGGTAAAAACCCATAAGCTGGTGAACAGCAGAGGTGAGGAGAAAGACTTGTAGCTCTGGAATTGGAATGACTGGTTTTTGGGTTTTATTTCACTTCCAGTCCAATGTTTTCTCTGATCATGTTTTACTTCAGTTCCAATCTGTGACAAACCAGCTTAGCTCTGCTGATTTCACAGGACATAACAGTTTACCCAGTTTGGGACTAAAAATGTGTAACATACCTGTATATATGTGTGTGTGTTCTAAATAAGGAATTAATACAATAAAATTCTTTAGAAACTGAAAAGCTATTAAATTTTCCTTTGCAGAAAAGTTTTAAATTCAAGGTGAGGATTAAACTTTAGAAAAAGCTCTGAGCTGAGCTTCCTCTGTTGTTTCTATACAATGTCAGGAGTCCTTTCAGATGGTTAGGTTAAAACCAAGAAAAAAAATGTATATTCAGGTTAAAACCAAGGAAAAAAATGTATATTCATCACCCTCAAGGCATCTGAGATAAGACAGAGAACTGTGAAGGCCCAATGTTTAGGCAGTGCTCAGCTCCAGTGTAGGTCAAAGTCGAGATCTGAGTAAAAAAAAAAGAGTCAAACGATCTGCATATCAGGGGACAGAAAATCATATTGGAAACTGGTGCCTGCAAAGTCAATGTGTCCCAGGTGTCTCCTGCTTTCCCCCAGGGTTTTATCTGTCTCTGCACTGTTAGTTTGTTCCCATGATTATCTCCTCTCACAGCTGACAAAAGAGTACCTGAGGAGCAAGGAAAAAAAGAAAGAAAGGACTTTTTCTTTTGCATCTCCCATTCTCTGATTTCTTTCTCTCATTTTCCAAGCATTGTGGAGAAAGATTGTGCTTTGATTTCCTACAAGAGTTCTTCCCTTAGTGTGGGGATCTCTGGCTCTGCCCCTGTTCTGCCATGACAGCTTTTGGACTGGCTCCTGGTAAAGATCCCAGAGGTCATTCCTCACGACACACAATGGATGGAAAAAGGAAATAAGGCCTATGTTTGCTTTGAGTATATGTTCCCATAAAATCCCTTAAAACTTTTCCCCGTGAACCATTTGCCCCATTTTAGAAGCAAAGTCCCTTTTTTGACTTCTCAAAGCATTTGAAGATGCTTTTTTCAGGTGCATGAACGACAAACTATAGGGACCTGAGTCCCTGCAAACTTCGGCATCAGTTTAAGACCTATTGCATTTGCTTTTTTAAAAAAATCAGGTTTAATATCAGTATTTTCAATTTTAGTGATTGTTACCTCTTGTTTTCATTATCATCATGCTAACATTGATAGAATTCTCTTTTAAGCTTCCAAAATAGTCTGTTAATCTCTGTATTCATTTGCTGCACTACATTGTGCACACAAACAAGGAAATGCTGAGAGAACAGCATTATGGGGGAAGCTCTTTTCCTGCAAAATCAGCACAAATGAGAGTCCTTATGAAGTGCCTGGCTGCTGATGCACACAGCATGGGGAACAGACAGGAGGAATTAGAAGCCTGCATGCAATTGCACAACTGCAGCCTCAGGATTACAAAACTGGGTGGGATAGCTCACACAACTGAGCTGTCCCAGAAAGTCCAGGGAATTACAGGCTGCTACGCCCAGGAATGTGATGGAACAACAGGCACAAACTGAGACACAGGACATTTCACTCAACATAAAGAAAGCACTCTTCTAGTATAAGAGGTGGTCAGACAGATGAAACTTCCCAGAGAGGATATGAGAAGTTCATCTTTGGAGACATTCCTGTCAGGATCTGGACATATGCATCTTGCTCTGGTGACCAGTTCTGAGCAGGGAGCTAAACTAGACAATCCCCAAAAGTGCATTCCTACCTCAGCCAGTCTGTGGGAGTCTGTGATTCTGTGTGCCATGGAAGAGGCAAATTTACAAGCAGGAGTAAGTAGCACAGGTGAACACCCTTCTCTTGTTGAAGGAAAAAAAAAATAGGAAAAGAGAAAGCAAATAAGTTTCCCTGAGTGCTTCACAAAAGCTTTAATCCTTCTCCATTTCCTAAATTGACATTCATTCATTCCATTCATTCTGTAAGTGCTGGAAAATGGGGCTTGAAACAGAAGTGCAGGTTGAGGGATATAGCATGAGCACCACTGCAATAACTGTACCTTACCATAAAAAGTGCCTTTACTTTCTGCATTTATTTTTCATACCTTTGTTCTTATTTACTCATGTCTAGCAGGGCTCCCTTGATGGCTCGAAGCCTTTGTAGCATATTGGGAAGGACATAAAATATCAAGTAACGCAGTCTTTGGGCTAATACATTTTCAAAAATGTTTCATGCCTCATTTCTCACGTAAATTCTTAGGTTGCATTCAGCCTTCAACGTGTCATTCATATTCATGAAGGAAAAAGGCCAGTGTTCATCACTTTCCTGCTGAGCTGCAGGCACTGCCAGGCTTGCCCCCTAGGGACTGCAGCAGTGCCCCAAGGAAAGTGCATTCCTCTGGTGTTCCTCTCCTGAGGACACAGTGACCAACAAATCTCTGATGGGCAGATGATGGAAGTGTGAATAGTCTTGTCTTACTTCTGGGGATTGTCCCATTTTCTCCACATTGTTAAACCAGTTCAAACTCACACCCCTGGTGCTCAACATCCCAGGAAAAATGAGGTGGACTAAGCAAGACCCTTTTTAGAGCTGCATCAGTGATGCTCCTCAGCTGGGGGGTTGCTGCTGAGGGGAGTCTTCTCTGGCTTTCCTGTTCATTGAGCATGCAAAGCCAAGATCCAGGATGAGATCCAAGGATCCCATACTATAATGCACAGCTCTGCCGTGGTGCCACTTTCACTGTGATGTCTCCAAGATGTTGCTGAGTCACAGATAACTGAGGCAATCAAGACAGCTCAATTCCAAAATAATTTCCATGGGTGGCCGCTGCTGTATGTCAGTCTTTTACTTTCATATCCACACAGTACCCGGCTGAAAAACTGCTGAGCCCTTATCTATGTTTAATTACATTATGCTATATATGCTTATTCATATTATGTAAGTTGTATTCTTTTTTTTATTATCTTACTTTTCTTACCATCCAGGTGATAAACTATGAGCAATGGATCCCACCACGAGTTCACAGTCCAGGTGTGCCTGGTAACAGTGAAATGGTGAGTTGCCATGAAAATTGTTCACTTTTTTCACCAACAGCTGGGAAGAACAGGCTGCTTTTTCCTGTTCTATATGTTCCTTCTCCAAAAGCTGAAAGATCTTTATCCATACCCATGTAATTAATCATGATATCTCTTTGTCTTCTGTAGAATACCTTATTACTGCTCTGATATTAATCATTATATTTCTTTATCATTCATGGAATATTATATTATTGCTGTGATTCCCAAGAAAGAATCTGCCTATTATCCTAGTCTGCTTAGTCTTACTCTGTACTCATTTTAAACTCGTTGGAGTACCAGACCAACATCATGGGAGTATTTAAAGGTCAGATATACATGGACAGGAGCACATGAAAGAAGTCTGCACAGTGTTCCTCTATACACTGGTTGGCCATGGCTTTATTGACATTTTTTAACAGAAAATTTGGTGCATTTTACAGAACTCTTTTAAAAGTTGTCTATCATCATATCACATACTATTTTAATATTAATTATGTGTAGCCATGTTATTACTGAAACTTTCCAAACATTTCTATGGTACAATTAGCACAATGGACACAGTAAACACACATTAATTTTTGTCTTTGCACTATTACACTATACTCTGAATTTAAGTGCATTAGTAGTCATGATTAAATCATAGCACTTTGGGAAAGGCAAAGCAGTTGAAGAAAAATCACAGAGATTATACTGTGCCATGACTAAATTCTTTATGCTGAGAAGTGACATGCTGTGCAAGTAGTTTTATTGAAATTAATGCAGTTACACCCAGGAAAGAGAGTGCTCAACAAGACTGAGATTGCAGAAATCTGAGCAGCAGTGTTTTACACTTAGCTCCCAAATTGCTGTACTCCTGTCACCAGGTTAATCCTCATACCATCTCACTGTGCAAAGATTTCTAAGGTATTTTACATACCTCTGTGGAAACTGGAAACAGTTTATCAGACACAATTTAGGTGTTTCTTCTGTAATGCATTTTAGAAGTGCATTTTGAAAATATATATTTTTTTGTGCTTAAGTATTCCTGCACACTTCATGCAAATTATTTGCAACTAAAAGGCAGCCTGTGATTTATTTTTATACACAATTCATTTTGATTTGTGATGTGACATGATTTTTCATCACTAAAACCCATTAAGCAGGGAAATCAATAATATTCTTGGTTCTTATTCATGCGGGAATTCTTTTCTTATAGATAGCTTTGCTTATAGATTGGGGAAAAGCACAGATCACCTGATTGTCAGTTTTCTACACGAAAGAATGTTTGGATAGGCAGACAAAGTTCTATATTTAAATGCTTAGGTAAGCCAAAATAAAATACTGTAAATTTAAAAGCTGTCTCACCACCAGCTGATACTGCATGAGCTTTTTCCTCCATGAAAGAGAGTTACTGCATTTATTATTTAAGCACTTATGACTTTTCCCTAACAATAGACTCTATGAAATGAGTGCTTTTAAGGAAAAGAGGATTAGAGTTTGCCATTAATGAAATTATCTGAATAGATTATCTTCCATCTATTTGATGTCTCCATGATGGAAACCCCAGATCATAAATCAAAGTCATCATGTTGCTTTTGTGTCGTTCCTTATAAGTGAACAAATTATTATTGCTACAAGAGATCTAATATGAGAGCAATATTAGCATTTTAAACCACTGTGATTTATTTTGCAAAGACATCTCACAATGAAAGACTGAAAAATTGCACCTCGGTTTCTCTCGTTAGCTAAGGTAAAAATGCATTCCTGCTCTCTTGAATTTGGAAGAGGAAAGAAATCTACACACAGGTGAAGGACAGGAAAAGCACAGCAGAACAGTTGGTGCTGGTGAGCTGATGCCCACCCTGTGTCCTATGGGGGGTCTACCTGTGCTCACATCCTCTCTCTTGGACTCCAACCAGCAGCTGGAGGTCATCAGCTGAACTTCTGGAAAGTTTTGTTTTAATTTCATCTGTAGCGAGTTCAGTTTGTGGCACTTTGAGACCGATGTGCAGCTTTCAGGAATAACTGCAAAATTCACTGCAAAACTAAGACACCAATGAAGCCATGGCTTACAAGAAACACTGGAGATGTGAAAAGGTGTCAACTCTCTGGCTTCCTGATCTCTTCCTGTGGTTGATTCCCAATTTCCAGAACACTGCAGATTTCACGAGATGTACGTGCTGCTGAGAAGGAGGGAGTCTAAACCCAAGTGCTATCCACTCTGGGAACTTTTGCATTATTGTGATTAAAGAAGAAGGACTCCTAGGGCCCTCTCCTTAAGGAAAGAAGCCAGCATAGGCTCCATCAGCATCAGTGTGATTTATATCACCCATTAAGATAGCCCTGAAAGGTGTATCTAGACACATAATAAAAATAAAAATAACATTAGTAATATTTTACGTAACTAAGAGTATTCTATAATAATAGTGCCTGAAAGAATAAGGCACTTTCAGATTTTTTTGGGGGGTGTGGGTGTATGTTTATTTCACTAGATCCTGCTTGTATTCAGTAATACTCAGGTATTCAAGAAAAGTGATATGTAAACAACAATATGAACACTGGCCTAAGATTGATGTTTCTTGTAATTTGTCTTTTCCCCTTTTTTAACCTATTAGTCTGAAGCAAGGAAAAGCCTAGCTTTCAAAGCATTGTGTCAATAAACGCTTTATCATTCTCAAGATAAACACCATGTTACCCTTAGTTTTTATTTTTAGGGTTTGAATGATTTCAATGTCTTTCCTGTTTTGTTTTGGCTTTTTTTTTTTTTTTTTTTTTTTTTTTTTTTTTTTTTTTTTTTTTTTGGGCAGGGTACAGAACCAGACAATAAAGCTGAATGCAGGGGAACATTAAAAAGGTTGCAGAAATTGGTCCGGACAAAGAAAACAAGTACACAGAGCTTGGAAGATGTCAAGCACGTTCTGGTTCCCCTCAGTAAGTACAGCATCACATCAGCATTCTTCCCAACATTTGGCAAATGACACTGGATTGAACATAACTGTAAACAACCCTGTCCTGGTCTGTCATTCACCACCCACGATTCTGAACCCCCAAGTGAGATGTTAGTGTGATACCACTCTGGCACTGACTTCCTCATGGTGTGAAAACCCATTTCCTGTGACACCAGTGGAGTTTTGTAACAGTATATCTCGCAAGTGGGGATTCTAGATAAATAGAATTGTATAACAGCAGGGCCTCCGTGCTGGGGACACCTTGGGTTTCCTGGGTTTGGATCACATTTTGGATCAGAAAGGCAAAATTCGCAAATGGGAAGATAATTTCCAGTGCTAATCCATAGGTCAGCAGCACCTGCGAGTGCAGGAAGGTCTGAGGTGTGATAAGCAAGTCGGTCTCTCCTCTGTGTAATTCTTACACCTGGCTGTAAGACCCAGGAATTCTGAACTGATTCTGGCCTCAGATGATTTTCTGGAGTCTCCTACAGCTCTCTGATCTGACTGTGCAGCAGCTCTTCCTCTGAACTTGTTTTGCCAACATTATTTTAACAATTAACATTGGATGTACAATGCACTTGTTTACACGATTATTTATAAATCAGCATTAGCAAAACGTGTTTAAACTATCTGTTGAACTACTGCTCCATCCAAATCACTGCTGAAACACATGAGGAAATAGGGATTTTAGCAACTACTTTGTAACTACAACATATATACAAGAGATGAGACAGCAATAGTCCAGAAAGATTCCTGAACTTTTCCAGCTCAACTCACGCTCTCTGAATCTATCAGCAATATGACATTCAGTTAGCAAATTTTCATGGGCAGAACTAATAAAATTTTCCACACCTTTGAGGGAACAAGATGAATATACCAAATGGAGAATAAATCTCACTTTTGGCTCAGATGCCTGACCCAGTACAAAATCCTTTCCATCTTCCTAATTATCATAATTATTTGGTTTTGGCTTTGTTGGTGTTATATTGGGGGGAGGGGGGGGAGGCTTTTTTTGTTTGTTTTTGGGGTTGTTTTGTTTTGTTTTTTGGTGGGCTTTTTTTGGGGAGGTTTTTGTTGTTAATTTTTTTAACAGAGTCGTTGGCTTTTTCATTATATAGAGTGAATGACAGCTATTAAATTTTTGAAAAGTGTGCTACTTACTCTGTGAGTTGCAATAAGTATTTGCATTATTTGCATTTTTAAAGATACCTTAGAAGATGCTTATCTCTCTGAAGAGGATGAAGAAGCTCTAACTTCTTGCATGAAGCTGACAAAAGCTCAGGAAAAGAAGACATGGAGAGATAGCACAAGGAGAAAAGAAGAGACTGAGACCAGGACAGATTTTATTTCTGCCTCTCTGGGCCGCTCATACACTTCCAGACTTAATAACTTAGGAACTATTTCAATCCATTCTGAAACAGAGTTTCACTTGTGGAGTGACTGGAAGCCGTTTCCTGACAACCAGCTCTGTCCTTGTGACTTTTTAATTTCAAAAATAGAAGAATGGGAAAACTGTACTTGCTCTTCTCATCAGTCACATCTTACATACTCCCTAACTGATATGGATCTACAGTACTCCTGGGTAAGTGGAACTGGTTGCTTTTGTGCTGATATGCATAAAAATTGGAAACTTTTTGCAATGATTCAGCATTAGAGAGATGCTGTCATCTTCCATGTGGTTATGAAATGCAATAAACCAAATTTAGATTTCAGGTAAATGGATGTGAATGCATTGTTCAGGCTAACACCAGGGGTTCGTATAGCCCTAGGTAGTTCATTTTTAACCATGCAGACATCAGCAGCTTAGAGATGGAAGGCTCTAGGCTATTCAGTTTCTCATCAGCACACTTGTGTTTTTTTGGGTTTTTTTTTCATCTGTACTATACTCATCCTTCCAGGCTTAGAAAACTTTCTGAAAGTCTGGGCTAAGTCAGCAAGGGACAATGAAGCCAATGGACTTGGAGCAGGCTCCTGGAGGTCACTGCAATACTAGTAAAGGACAGCAGAGTTATTTAGGCAAATGTCAGAGGTTGCAGAGGTATCTGTGTTTCTGTCTTCTTGATCAGATTAGCTGGTGGAGCCTATTTTTGCTATTACCCGTGTGGCAGGAAGATTCCAGGGACAGAAACAAAGAAGCAGAGTTTAATCTTGGACTGAAATTATCTTCCTTGGATAGGTCTGTGCAGAGGTTTTTGCACTTTAATTACTGGCTTTTTAAAAAAAGGGATATTCAAAGCTAGAAGAACAAAACCAAGAGAAATTCTTTGTGATGAGATATACAAAATACAGACACTGCAACAAGGCTTTTCTCCCTTTCCTCACTGGGCACAGCAGGTCTTCTGGCACTCCACAGAGTGGTGAGCACATGGAGGGTGGCTGGTAGAGTGAAATACATCAGAGAAGCAGTAAAAGGTAGCCACTTTCCCCTTTATGCCTGTTCCCTCTACAGTGCTCCAGGGACAGAGCTGTGTCTCACTGTGAAATAAGACCAGCTCCCAGGAAAGTGCACCTAAACCACAGGAGGTGAGACACCTGCTGAAACCTGAGCCAGCTGAGTGCTCAAATGGAGGCTTGAGCAAGCACAGCCTTAGACCAGAGAGTGTCCTGCTGAGAGCAGCATGGTCTGTCACATGTGCCCGTGTAGCACTAGAAAGGTAATAGATGTGGGTCTGTACAGCAGCCATATTTCTGAATTCATGGAGGAGGTAATTCAGTTCCTTTTCAATGACACAGCAGCTGACATGACAGGCAGGAACTAAAATGTGGGATTTATCTAGCTGTAGATTTTCCTGGGATTTGACGTAGAAAACAGAGTCTAAAATTTGACTGATAATTAGAAAAAGAAAGAAAGGAAACTACCCCTTAAAAGAGCTGAGGGAGGCAGAAATGGGCTGGGAGCTGTGAACAAAGGCTGTGGTCTGTCAGGGGAGTGCCCCTGCATGCCAGGAAATAGGGGGTGTCTGCAGAAAGTGAATTGTGTCAGGGATGCTGGGCTCCATCATATGCCTGGCTCCTTTATGCAAGCAGCTTTCAGCATCCCAAGTGAAGGCTGAAGTCCCAGGTAAAAACAGTAATAGAGGTGTCAGTCAGATTTATGAGAATATAAGTGTCAATTCAAATAATTTTATTTCATTTTGTCACAAACAGGCTGCTAACGTTCCCTACCCTGGTGAGATTTGTCCTACCCATATTACTATTAAGTGCTAGCAAGGGGTTTAGTGCTTTTTTTTTCCCCCGAATTGTTTATTTTGCCATCTGCCTTCCTGACAGGCTCTCTGACTTTAATGTATCTCTGTGGGCTTAGTGTCTTTAGATTTAGATTACAGCCAATGGCATGACATCTCATTCTTTGCATCTTCATTCTACCAACTGGCTCAATTGAAGTTTACAAAGGCTGGATTTTCAGTTTTGCTGTTTAAGGATCAAAAATCTGGACACTGGTGGTTTTAATATGAGAGGATCAGACAGAGGGGGTGGTGCAGATGTTCTTTCTGATGTTGATTTACTTATTAGAATAAAACCAATATATTCCATAATACTCTTCCCTATTTTGTGAGAAAGAAGGTATGGTTTCATTTTCTTGACTTGGTAACTCCTCTGTTGTCTCTGCTGCAGAAAGTGGTGCAGGAGACAGATGGAGATGAACTATCAAAATACTTGTTGGTATGTCCTGAAATGTGACCAAACTGGTAGATGCAAGACAAAGATCCAAGACTCTGCTATTCCATCAGCAAACTGCTGCTGATCTGGCTTGGGGGACAGACAAATATCTAGATCAGACAAATATTATCCAGACGTATCTCAGCAACGCACGCAAAGCTGATCAAGCCTGGCCTTTATTAGAGCTTAAATGGCAGATAGTAAATTAAGTAGTGCTCTCCTGTAATCACAAGGAAAGACATGGATCTCTCCATGACAGATTGCTGTTTACAGAGACAAAACATGAGTAATCCTAATTCCCTTCCTCCAATTTCTTCCCTTGACTCCCTCTTCCTTTCTTCCGCATCAGCAGTCCACACAGCCTCCCTATGGTGCTTCACATTGCCTGTTTCTGTCACCCCAACCAGTAAAAAGGCTGATGGAGGTCATCTAGGCAAGGACTGTGAGAAAAGACTCCAAAAACCACATCCATCTTCAGCTCCAACAGGCTCCTCCAGCAATTCTTCCTTCAGCCTCCTCCAGTTAAGCCTTCAGTAACCACCCACGTTAGCTGGGCAGCCTCTGGCACAGGAATATTGCACACCACTCACATTTCACCCATCCTGCCATGGTGCCACCATTAGATTCTTTGTGCAGAGTTAACTTAACCACAGGTCTTTTATATATACATATGTGTGTGTGTATATATATATATGTATATACATATATATCTATATATATGTGTGTATATATATATATATGTGTATATATATATGTATATTTTTTTTTATTATTCATCTTCTTAAAATATAATTAGTGTTTGGTCAAAATTTTGCTAAGGGCAACATAAAGCATTGCTTTTTTTGGTGTGTCAAGCTTGCCGTGTTAAATTATTGTTACTGGTATTCTTTCCAGAGAGATGTAATTTATAAATAGTTCTTCCTTAGAAAGTGGAAGAGTATATTTTAAAAAAATGCAGAATGCTTGAGGGGAAAAAAAAAAGAAAAATGTTCTTGCATGCTCCGATAAAGTAACTACTATGCTGCATATTTTTCTATTATCACAAAGTATATTGGGAGGTCTGGACTGATGTTTGTGGTGTTATGAATCAGCTGAAAAGCAGGCAGAGGATGGAAGAAAAGATTGTCCAGATACCACTTTAACAACCACTTGACCCCAATGGGAAAGGTTACTGGGTTTTTATGCTTCTTTGTATTCCTCAGGCTTAGCCCTGCAGAAAACAGTTAAGCTGTCTGTCTCAGACTAGTTTTTTCTTTTTTTTGTGTGTGTTTACTAAAAGCTGCCCTGCTGTCATTTGTATGCTAAGATACTCACTGCCCTGACAAAGTAGTATGCTTAGAAGTGCCATGTCCATATGACTTTTATTCAAGCTCTTCTAGCCTTCTGTTGCTTTTTCTGAGTCTGTGCAATTGCATAAGACTTTTGCAAGCTCATAAGGCAGGAAAAATCTACAGTCAGAAGGTTGTAAACTACAGGAGCTTGAATGGACCTGAAAGGCACCGTGGAGCACAGTGAGGTCACAGATGAGGTCCTCTTCACAAAAGGGTTCCCAGACTATCCTGGACAGTCTGAGACAGAGAGAAGAAATGCAGATGAGTCCTTTTCTCCTCTCCCTCAATACTTCAACATGTTGCATCACTGGCTGACCCATCCACTCTCCCAATACCTGTGTTTGTAGAATCACACAGTGCTCCTTTACAGGAAAGGGAGAGGAGACAACATCCTCTGCTGGAGACAAATCAGCAGAGAGTTACTGGAAGTGGGTTTCTCTTCTTCAGACACCTTAGCACATGGTTAAGTTTTACAGAAAAAGGATTTAGTCATTGATACCATAAGAATACTTATCTGGTGCAACCTGTGTTTGGCATTCAATGAGAATGAAATAGGAGGGACATTTCCCAAGACTGAAAAGATCTGAGATTTTGATGAAGGGAAAGAAAAAAAATCTAAGGTACTGCAGAGGAAGATGCATTTTCTCTCCCATTTTCAGGTTAAGAGGAGATTAGAAAGCTTCAAAAGATTGGCTTCTATCTGATATGAATGTACTACATTGTGGTGGAATGAACAGTAAGTTTGGGGGAACTGCAAAATACTGTATTCCAATTCCTGTGTTCATTCTCTCCATATTCCACTCAGAAAAGTGTTATGGTCTTATCACAATTATGTTTACCCTGCTGTTAATGGCCATGGTCCTCTGCCATTTCAGTGACCTTGTGGCTTTTTCCTTTCTTCCCTTGCCTGGCTTGCTTCCTAGTCAGACAAGCCATTTCTCAGGATCTCCATTTGACCCCTAGGAGACATGGCTAGCTTGACATCTATTTTTGGGTTGAAGAAACACTCTAATTGTCAACCCTGATTTTGTACATTTCCTTACTCTAACTTTTCCTGACACATTGTACATTGTAGGTTCTGGTTGCCCCATGTCAGCCTTGCTGCCTTGCTGTGGTTGCTCTTACCCTGCCCTCTGCTCCTGATCAGTTTGATTCCCAAAAATATGCTGCATATTGCCTGGATGTTTATGCAGGTGTTGAGTGTCTGTGCTACCAGTGACTCATCCCTGCTTCCTGGACTAGTGGAGTGGGAAGGAAGGGTAAGGACAGCTGGTAATGAACAAACAGGGCAGAGTGTTCTTCTCTAGCAAAATGTGCTCCAAAGCTGAAAGTTGTTATTTGCACTGCCCAGAGAATTGCTGTGGGAAGATTTCTGCTCCATTTCAGCCAGCAGTTTCTGCTGCACACCAGAATGCTGTGGGCTTTAATGGACTTTCTGACTGCTCAATTTTCTTAAGCAATTTGACTGTTTTCTGTAGTTTTTCCTTTTTTCAGCTAATATCTTTCTGTTGAGAGACACCTGAACATGCCTTAGAAGAGCTTTCTCAATTGCATTTTGAATCCTCATTTGGCACAAATATAGCACTGAAAA